ATGCAGTGTATTATTTGTTGAAACTGTACTTCCGATTTGATTTGAAACTGTCTCATTGCTATATGTTTATCAATAAAACTGTAGAAAATAAATAAGTAAATAAATAAAAAATAAATTAAAAAAAAAAAAGAATCTTCATTTACCTTCTGTCCTGTTGCTGGCTTCTGTAATCTGAATAAACTCATTTTCCAGTAGCCACATCACACAGGCCTCAATTGCTCCAAGTTGATCAGAATCTTGATTTTCCTGACTTCTCTGCTTTTCTCCTTTCAAACTTGCAGCCAGAAATGTGCAAGCAGCGTAAGTCTGCATATCTCCTGATGTACTTGCCACTCCACCAACTATAATCTGATGGAAAATGTTTGAAAATTTCTGTAACTTTTTTTCTTGTATTACTGGGGACAACCCAGGGCCTTTGGATCCAGCTCCATCCCCAGCCAGTCCTTTGTTTTCATTATTTATTTTAAGACAGTGTCTTGCTAAGCAGCCCAGACTTGCAGTCCTCCTAACAGCCTCCCAGAATACAGAAATTACAAGGTGAATCACCATGTCCAGCTCTTCAGCTTTTTAATAAAACACACACGTCTTCATGATATATATTAAAATATTGTCAGAAACTTATGTACAGACTCTTTAGTAACTCTTCCATCATCACTTGTTGAAAATTATAGAGAACGGATGCTGGCAATATGAAAAGTTTTCCTTAGAAGTAGATATAAACTGGGCATGGTAGTGCACACCTGTCATCTCAGCTTTTGGGAGGTTGAGGCAGGAGGATCACCGCTGATCCGAGGTCAGCCTGGGCTAAATATAGTGAGTTCAAGACCAGCCTGGACTACATAGTAAGACTCTATCTTAAAAAAATAACAAATTTGATATAATACTTTCTTAGAAACAAAAACAAATGAATCATTATGCATCTGAAATTTTATAACTAGCAATATATATAAAGTAGTAATGATTCATGGCCAGAAACCAAATAACTTCTTATCCTTCCTCTAAAACATACTGACATTCAAAAATACAACAATGCAGGGCCGGGGAGATGACTCAGTGGAATAAGTGCTTCCCTGGCAAGCACAAGGCCCTGAGTTCAATCCTCGGCTCTGCCAAAAAAAAAAAAAAAAAAAAAAAAAAAAAAAAAAAAAAAAACTACAATGAATACTTCTCCTGAGAAGAAGGGTGGGAATATGTGCAGAAAAATATGAAGTCAGTTGCATTCTGTAAACCACATTTTCCCACAATTGTCTTATTACAATGCACTAAACTGCCTCTTATCTTCTTTCATTTAATACATATTAAACACATATCATAAGTGGGAGAGAGAAGTAAAAAAGGATCAAGATCCAATATGTTCTACAAATTCCCCACAATATTATGTATCAGATACATATATTAAAGTCATATATGCTAATAAAAAGAAAAAAGCAAACAGAGCTATCTTGTCCTTTGTAATGACCACAAAGCATGGTTTGGCCTACATTTATTTAGTATTAATGGCAATGGGTTTTTACTAATCTTTTTTATTACTAACAAGGGTATACAAAACATTCTTACACATTTACTTTGTCTTAAATTCACAAATATATTCTTAGATAAAATTCCTAGATATGAAATTGCCAGTGGGTACATTTTTTTATTTTAGTAGATATGGTAGTAGTTGTCCTCAAGAGAGCTTCCACCATCTACGAAGGCACTTACTTTCAACACTCTTTCTCAACTAATATTATCAAATATTTTCTTTTTTTTTTTTCAAATTGATAAAAGGGAAAAAGTACGAGCAGAAATACCACTAGGATTGAAACCACGACCAAAGCATGTAACTACATAAAAACAAGCATGCTGACACATAAATACAAAGCCTACTTTTTCCTGAATGAACACTTAAAATGCTAAACCAGGGTTATCTTTGAAGACTCTAAGTAGAAGATTTTATTTTGTCACTTTAGATTTCTCTATGCTGTTGTAAATATCCAATCATGTGTATTTGTTACCTGATTTCATTTTAATCTCAGCAGGTATTATATGTATGGAGAAACTATGGTCCATTTTTTCATCTGTTTAATTTTTTGAGAGGGGGGGGAGGAGGAGGAGGAAGAGAAGAAG